TAACTGTTGTGGTTGGGGAACCCCGTGGTGCAAACCGACCAAGCTTCGAGTTGTGCTGAATCTCCACTCTTTCCCCTTCCACCCTCCCAATTCCAACAGTTGACGTGCTCCGTAGAAGGGATTGCGACCTTTGGACACTCGATGTCTGGTACAGTTGTTGGTTTTAGTTGTTTCGATCGCTGCCGCCGGCGGCTCGTCGCTCTCGAATGGGTTTCACACGCGCGCGGATGACAGATATCACAGCTCTGAACATCAAGGACGGGCGGGGAACCTCCGACTAGTCCTGCGAACGTGTAGGGGGCGCACCACAGAGTCCGTTCTATTTCGCTCAAGCCTCCTGCCCTGTCTCTCTAATGCTCGAGTTCCCCCGCGCGCGCTCGCGGCGGGCCGCAAGCGCAGTCTTGTGCGGCAAAATCTTTGGGTTCAGTTGTGGCGGCTCGTCGCTCTCGATTGGGCTTCACACGCATGCGGATGACATACATCACAGCTTTGAAAATCAAGGACGGGTGGGGAACTTCCTGATGATGGTGATGATGATGGATGGCATGATGCGGATGACCATAATGATGACGATCCTGATGATGTTGCTGATGGTGGTGATGCTGCTGCTTATGATGATGGTGGCGAAGATGATGCCGATTATGATGATGATGATGGGGATGATGAAGATGGTGATGCTGATGATGCTGGTGGTTGTATCAGTATGGCAGTCGCGATGATGCTGATGCTGAGGCGGATGCTGCTGGTGATGGCGATGGTGCTGCAGATGGTGATGATGCTGCTCAGCACCAAACAGTATTTTCTTGCGATACACGCGGTGCAACGTAGGTAGTGCAGTCAACGGGTTGCCATCGAGGTGGTGCTATCCATGTGGTGCACTTGATTGGTGGAAAAGCAATACAACGCAGTGCTAAGCAGTGCAATGCAATGCGAAGCGATGCCATGCAACGCAATGCAAAACAATGTAAGTCGATGCGAAGCAATACACAACGATACGAAACTATGCCAGGCAATGCATTTCAAGGCAACTCAGTGCGACGCACTGTACACCATTGAAACGCAATGCAACGCAATGCAATGCACATCACAGCCAAACAATGCCAATCATTGCATAGCAATCATTGCATAGCAATGCAACGCAAAACAATGCAATGCCTTGCAAAGCAGTGCAGTGCAATGGAAGTCAAACGGTACAAAGCGAAACAATGTAAAGCAATGCAGAGCAATGCGACGAGGCGGTGACGGAACAGTGACGGCGACCACAGGGCAGCGTACCCGACGTGCGGGCCCGGATGACGGTCGGCGACGAGGCGGCGACGGCAGCCACATTGCCGCCAGACTGCCGAGCAGGCCAAGACGATGGGCGGCGACGAGGCGGCGACGGGGCGGCGATGGCGGCCGCATAGCTGCCAGACCGCCCCTCAGGCCCGGTTCCTCAGATAAGAAGTATGATCCCCTAAGGGCACGTACTGTTTGGAGAATGATGATGACGACGCTGACGATGACGATGACGAGGAGGAGGATGAGGAGGATGATAATGATGATGATGGCGACGAGTAAGAAGCTGAGGGGGGAGATCACGAGTAGGCAGATCATGAAGAGGGGTAAGAGTGGTATGCTGGTGATGTAGTTGTGGATGGTGAGGGTGGTGGTGGTGGTGGTGGTGGTTGTGGTGGTGATGATGAGGAGGAGGATGATGAGGAGGACGATCAGGAGGATGATGACGATGATGCTCATGCTGCTGCTGCTGATGATGATGATGATGCTGATGATGATGCTGATGATGATGATGATGATGATGATGATGATGATGATGATGATGGTGATGATGATACGGATGACTATGATGACGATGGTGATTGTGATATGGATATTGTGATGTATACTGGTGATGCGGAGGGGTGGAGAAGGCGGAGGAAGAGGAATAAAGAGAAAGAGGAGAGCAGGATGGATATGAGGAATATGAAGGAGGATGAGGGTGAGGAGGAGGAGGAACACGAAAGTGGAGGAACATGACATCTGCACGGCGCGGCTCCGCGTTGAACTCCAGTCCCATTCTTCTCAGCAGCCTCCCAGCCTCGATCGAACCCCAGCCGCCTCTTCGCCTGCTCCTCTCTAAGATTATGCTCGTCGGCGCGACATGGTACGGCGCCGTCTCAGCCGCCCCCCCCCGTCCCAGCTCCTGCATGACGTTGCGGCACGGCTCCTCGCCGTCTTCTCCCCAGTGCCCACTTCTCCCCCCTGATGGCTCCCGCCCCTCTTTCACTCTGGCCCCTCGTCTTCGCGCTCCCTCCGCCTGCTGGCTTGTGATTGCACCGCGCCGCGTCCCAGCTTCACTCCCAGTCCCCACACAGTCCCCGTCCCCGACTTTGGAGATGCAACACAGCGTGGCGCCGCGCCGGCCCTCCAGTCCCGCTCCTCCCCGCCAACTTTAGTGCCCCCCGCTCGCAGGATTCGGCCCGCACCACCCCTTTGTGTGCCTCCCCATACCCCGACGGTTTTTTATGGCGCGTTCTGCTGGCCTCTCGAGTGCACTCCTCCCTCACCATCTCGCGTCTTTCCTGTCCCGACCTTCTGTGCATCGCGGCGGCACGTCCTCGGCGCGGTGACAAGGCAAACGAGGAAATCCAGCCGCCAACCAGGAAGTTCGGTCGCGAACGGGAAAATTTTCTTCGGTCGAACGGGGGCGCTATTCCATGCGAGCGGGGAAGATCTGCGGGGGCTCCAAGGTTTTTTTTGGTCGATCAGTTTTTTCCTCGACTCAACGAGGACATTTTCTTGACCGACGGAGGATTGGTTCTTGGTGCTATCACGTGTGCTGCTGGCTGCATGCTGCCCTTGAAATGGAAGCCGCTCGAGAGAACGGTCGGGTGCATTCGGCTTGAGTCCTCGATCTTAGGACTGGTTGTTGAGTTCTAGTTTCCACTTCTGTAGCCCTGTCGCCTAGGATCCGTCTCTCTGGGTTTCCGAGGGGAGCGCTGGGTCCCCCAGTCAACCAGGGGCGATCGGCAAGTGGATTGCCCTACTTTTCAACACTGTGTCTGTGGCAGCGTTTTGCAGGCTGGGAGCAGTTTTCATTTCTAGGGCGAGGGTTCCTGCCACTTGCGGCGCTTCAGAACTGGTTCTCTTCGAGGATCGACGGAGTTGCCGTTTCTTCCACGGCGCGATAAGGAAACATAAGGAAGCAAACCCTCTTTGGTAAGGCAGGCGCGATATGGAAGCAAACCATTTTGGTCGATTGGGGGCGATGCGTTCACTTGTGAGCTGGCAGTCGAAACTGACAGTGGGGATTTGCGATGAGGAAGCAAACCCTTTTGGGCGCCCACGTTGGGGCTCTTCGTGCAGGGCTGGGCATCGAGAGTGTTTGAGGATGGACAGACGAGGCGCGGATGCGCTTGTACCCTTCGGAAGGTTACTCATCCATGCCATCGGGTTCGACTGGCCCAAGTGCCACGCATGCCACAACGTGAGGATCGTGGGTGAGTCTGAGTGCATATGAGTCGCGACTATGAGTGGGTGTGAGCGTCAATGACACAGTGTGGGTAAGGTATGATCCAGCCGAGTATGAGTATATATGATTGTGAATGGTCTGAGTGTGCGATTCTAAGTGTGAGTGAGTATGTGTGCGTGTGTGGGCTTGAGCATGAGCGAGTCTGGGTACGAGTGAGTTTAAGAATGAGTGGGCCTGACTGCGAGAGAATCTGAGTGTGAGTGGATTTGGGTACTTGCGAGTCTTAGTATGAGTGAGCCTGAGCATGAGTGACTCCTGAGTGTGGGAGAGTCTGAGTGCGAGTGGATCTGAGTATGAGCGAATCTGACCATGATTTAATATGAGTATGCGCGAGTCTGGGTGTGAGTGATTGAAGTCATGAGTGGCCGTGTGTGATACCTCGGAGTACAACGAAGCTGAGCATGGCTGGGCCGAGTACGATTCAAATGAGTGGAGCTTGTGTGCGCGAAGGGGGCGGTTGAGTGAGGAGGAGGGGGAGGGGGAGGTGAAGGCGTCACATTCGTAACCCCATCGTAGGATATGGGGGACACATTTATTTGGGGCGCTTTGCGGGGAGCGCCCGCCATCCAGACCCGCCGTGCAGTAACTGAGCACGAGACTTGCTTCGGCTTGGATTTTGCGCTGGTCTTCGCTGCGGACACCCATTCGGTCTCTCCCCACGGGCTGTGGCATGATGTCCTTCCGTGCTCGTTGAGTACGTGGCCGGATTTTACGTGGTCAGCCGCGGAGCTCGGATTCAGAAAGTTGTATAGTTTCGCAGTGTTGCCAGGGTCCCGATTCCCCGGCTGCGCTCAACGGCTCGCCTATCGCAGGTTGGCCTGAGAGCTGCTGCAGGTGCTTTGGTTTTCCTCCTCCTCCTCCTCCTCCTCCTCCTCCTCCTCCTCCTCCTCCCCCTCCTCCCCCGTAGGTGTTGACGTGTACCCGGCCAGCCAATATTGATCGTTGTCGCTGCGCTGCGTGAGAGATGCAAATAAGTCAAACTAGTCTGTTGATTCGCATGTTCGCAAAATTGTCGTTGTCGTTGGCGTCGTCGGTTTGTTGTTCCGTAAAGGATAACTCATCGTCCAGCTGCGCGCCTGGCAGCGCGTTGTTTTTCCCCTCCTCGCCTCGCTTGTCACTTGGCTTCTTCTTCTCCTCCCGCTCCCTCCCCCGTCGTCGTCGTCGTCGTCGTCGTCGTCGTCGTCGTCGTCGTCGTCGTCGTCGTCGTCGTCGTCGTCGTCGTCGTCGTCGTTCACCTCCGCCCAGAGGGCTGGCGGGATTTAGCCAATGAGCCTTTGATCTGCACAGCCCTTTTTCCCTGCTGCTGTCATTAACTTCTCGACTCCACTCGCTCATTTTGAGCCGTCGTGGCCATCCCAGCTCCTGCGGACTGTGACTCGCCCGCTCCATGTCGAAAAAGTACCCAAACAACCGGGAAGGAGAGATCAGCTCGGGGGACCGGCCGGCAGTGAGTGCCCTCGCTCCCCTGCCGCCCGCCGTCGCGCAAGAGGCCCAGCCGGCCGATGAGCGGCGCACCTCCTGGCCGCACGTGGTGCAGGCGGCTGCTGTCGGACCGCCAGGCACGGACCCGCAGCTGCATCCCGCCCTGGCTGGCGTTGGACCGCCGGGCACGGACCCGCAGCTGCATCCCGCCCTGGCTGGCGTTGGACCGCCGGGCACGGACCCGCAGCTGCATCCCGCCCTGGCTGGCGGCGCGCTCCCGGCGAGCCCGTGGCCGCACGACGTTGCTGGCGGTGGCTCTGGGCAGGGAGCCGTGGGCCGAGAGGTCGCGACATCGCTGGCTTGTCCCGTCGGGGGGGCTATGTTGGTGCTCTCTGAGGGCGCTCGTGGGCTCGCTGAGGGCAATCCTTGAGCTTCTTGGGGTAATGTGGAGTCCCTTTGAGCGTCGGGGGGCGCTGTTTGGAGGCTCTAGGGCTCTAAGAGCCGTCTTTGGGGGGGGTCTTGGGGCCATTCTGGGACCATCTTGGGGCGGTCTTCGTCTCGGGCCGTCTTGGAGCAGTCCTGGGGCTGTCTTAGAGGGCATCTTGTGGGCGTCTTGGTCTCTTTGGGTGCTCTTGTAGGCCACCTTGGCCCTCTTGTAAACCTCTGGTGCCCTTCTTGGAGCCATCTTGAGCTGGTAAGTGGTACTTGCGTGGGAGCCCAACCGATCTTGAATATTTTCACTTGTCGGGGGCTCTCTCCAGAGCCATCTTGGAGCCTCTCTGGGGCAACTTGGCGCCATCTTGGGCTGTTTCGGGTGTCCTTGGTCATCGTGGGGGTTGTTTGGCCGCGTGAGGCTCCTCTTGGAGCCGTCTTGGGCGTTCCGCGTTCTGTGGCTGGCCGCGTGAGGCTCGTCTCGGAGGCCCATGAAGCCGTCTTGGGCGCTCTGGGCTTCTCCCTGGTTCGACGTGGGAGGAGTTCTGCGGCGCCGAGGCCAGGGAACCCTTGCAACCGCAAGGGTTCGCCGGCAATGTGTTCGGATGGGTGCAGTAGCGGATGCGAGAAGTGAATGTCAACATGAGCCCAGGCCGACGCTGGCTGCGCATCTCAGAAATGGAAGCGGCCTACGCGCCAGCAACACACCCGATAGCACCGTTTTTTCTTCCTTCTGAGTAGCTTCTCCCTGTCGTGCCCCGAGGCCGGTCGAAAGGGCGGGCCAGGCGTGTCGCCTGAGATTTTCTTGCCTTCGATGGCCCTGAGACTCAACAGTCGGCAGCAGTTTCGCAGATGGATAGCGGGTGGTTTTCAAAATCTGGCTCTCACTTCCGCGCCGCGCACAATCGTTTTAAACAAATTCACGGATTGAGGGCGGGCCGTTTTCAAAATGTGGCTCTCGCCTTCTAGCCGCGCACATTCTTTGTTAACAGGTGCAACATCTTCACAGATGGAGGGCGGGTCGTTTTCAAAATGTGGCTCTCGCTTCCGCGCCGCGCACATCCGTTTGTAAGACTTGCAAGAGTTTCACATTTTGAGAGCGGATCGTTTTCAAAATGTGGTTCTCACCCTAGCGCCGCGCACATTCGTTTTAAAACGTTGCGAGGGTTTCACGGGTGGAGGGAGGGTGTTTTTCAGAATATGGCTAGCGCCGCGTGCATTCGTGTTTAACAATTCGCAACATATTCACGGATTGAGTGCGTGCGGTTTCAAACTGATGTTTTCGCTTAGGCGCCGTGCACATTCGCTTTTCACAGTTGCAACGGTTTCACGGATGGAGGGCGGGTGGATTTAACATGTGGCTCTCGCTTTAACGCCGCGCACTTTCGTTCTAAAACGTTGCAAGAGTTTCACATATTGAGGGCGGCTCCTTTCCAAATGCTTGTTCTCGCCTTAGCGCCGCGCACAGTCGTTTTATAAAGTTGCGAGAGTTTCACAGATTGAGGGCGGCTTCTTCCCAAACTACGGTTCTCGCATTAGCGCCGTCGCACTTGTTTGGAACATTTGCGAGGCTTTCACGGCCTCCGATGGTCAACGTGCCGTAGATAGAGCGCGCTCGTGGCGCACTTCTCAGTACGAGGGGAGCCCAGCTTCAAGCTCCCCCCCTTCCCTTGGAATATTTTTTGGGGGGCCTCCGAGGCTCCCCCCCCCCCCTTTTGGGGGGCCTGGAGGCTGCCCCCCCCCCTCCGCCTGGTTTGGTTTTTGGGGGGCCCAGGGTCGGCCCGGGCTCTCCTTTCAAAAGGGGGGGGGGGCTTCCGAAGCTACTCTTGTTTGGATTTTGTAGCTGGGGCTCCCTGGCTAAAGGGGGGGGGTGGCTTGGAAGCTGCTCCTCCCCCTCTTTTCGGGGCCCGGGTACGCCCGGTCTCCCCTTTCCAAAAAGGGGGGGGGGCTGCCGAAGCTCCTTCCGCCTCCCCTTCTTCTGTTGGCTCTTTTCCCGATTCCAGCCGGAGAGCCCTGGCTGAGGGGGGGTTCGAAGGTTCTTGTCTTTTTTGGTTCTCGGCGCACTTGTGGTTTTCGATGTCTCTTTGGTTTTCGGCGCGTTTGGGCCCTTTGCCGTTTCCTTGGTTTTCGGTGCTCCTTCGGTTTTCGGTGCTCCCTGAGTTTTCGGCGCTCATGTGGTTTTCGGCGCTCCTTTGGTTTTCGACGCATTTTTTGTTGTCGGCGCACCCTTTATTATTCGGCGCATGATTGGTTTTCGGCGCCCTCTTGGTTTTCGGCGCCCTTTCGCTTTTCGGCGGCCCTCTAGTTTTCGGCGCCGTTTGGTTTTCAGCGCTCTTTGGTTTTCGGCCCCCTTTTGGTTCTGGGCGCTCTTCGGCTATCTGCGCGCCTTTCGTTTTTGTCGGACTTTAGTTTTCGACGTCCTCTTGGTTATCGATGCGTCTTTGGTTTTTTGGCGCCCTTTTGGCTTTCGGCGCATAGTTGGTTTTCTCTGCTCCTTGAGTTTTCGGTGCTTCTTTGGTTTTCGGCGCCCCGTAAGTTTCCAGCGTTCTTGCGGTGTTTAGCGCCCCATTGGTTTTCGTTTGTTTTTTGTTGCGCCGTGTCCGTCTTCGGAGCTTCTATTGTTTTCGGCGCCTCTTTCGTGTTCGGCCTCCTTGTGGTTATCGACGCCACCGTGTTTTTTAGGGCGCCCTTTTAGTTTTCAGCGCATCTTTGGTTTTCGGCGCTCCTTGGGTTTTCGGCGCCCTTTTGGCTTTCGGCGCATAGTTGGTTTTCAGTGCTCATTTGGTTTTTCGCTCTTTGGTTTTCGGTGCTCCTCTGGTTTTCGGTGTCCTTTTGGCTATTGGTCTCATTTTGGTTTTCGGCACATTTTTGGTTTCTGGCGCACCTTTTTGTGTTCGGCGCTTTGTTGGTCTTCGTCATCCTTTTGGTATTCTGCGCCCCCTTGGTTTTCGGCGCTCCTTTGGTTTTCGACGCCTTTTGGGTTTTCGGTGCCCCTTTGGTTCTCGGCGTCCTTGTGGTTTTCGGGCGACCCTTTGGTTTTCGGCGCTGTTTTTTCGGCGCCGTTTTGGGTTTTCCGTGCCCTTTTGTTTTTCGGCGCTCATTTGGTTTTCGGCAGTGTTTTGGTTTTCGATGCCCTCTCGGCGTTTGGCAACCCTTTGGTTGGAGACTGTTTTTTTTAAGTGTCTGGCGATAGCCCGGGTTATCCAGCTCGCCCCCCCCCCCAGGATGACCTAACCTAACCAGTTGTGCAGGTCCAAGGGGGAGGGGGGGCGCAGGGATCTCGCAGGGAGCGTTGTGTGGAACGGTATTGTGGTGATCGCCACAGCATGCTGGTGTTTGGATGCACGTTGGCGAAACGTGAGGGCTTGGAGTGGATAGGGGAGACGACGACGACGACGACGACGACGACGACGACGGCGGCGGCGGCGGTTGCGGCGGCGACGACGACGACGACGACGACGATTACGACGACGACGCCGACGACGACGCCGACGACGACGACGCCGACGACGCCGACGACGCCGACGACGCCGAACATGCCGACGACGCCGACGACGCCAGCAACGACGACGACGACGACGAAGACGACGACGGCGGCGGCTGTGGCGGCGGCGGCGGCGGTGACGACGACGACGGTGGCGGCGGCGACGACGACGACGACAGACGACGACAGACGACGACAGACGACGACGAACGACGACGACGACGGCGTCGTCAATAGGCAGCAGGAGGTGCACGTGAGCAGCGCGTACACAGGCATTGCGTTTTGTACAGGCAGCGAGGCGATTTGGTACGCACGCCGGATCTCACGCATGTCGCGCGATGCACGCGCCCATCGCGATGCACCAAGCAATATGGTGAAGTCAGGTTTTGTGGTGTGCACAACTGTTCCTGCAACATCAGTTATTATTCACGCAGGCATCCCAGGCATGTTGGTGTACAGAAGCGCTGTGGTGCATGGTCATTGCGGTGTACTACATATTTTAGTGTACACTGGCGTTGCGGTGTGCACATCTGCTGCTGTGTACACATTCGCTATGGTGTACACAGGCTTTGTGGGCCCAAAAAACGGGACCGTTCCCTGCGCAAGACAACGCAATAATCACACATAGCTTACACATTGGATTTGATACGTTCGGATCCTCCGCGATTTTCTGGAGTTCGGTTCCGCTGGGGGCCCTGTAAGTGTACGTAGTTCTGTGGTGTTTCTGTGGTGCACACAAGCACTTTGGTGCACTGGAGCTGTGGTGCACGAGTATGGTGCTGAAGCAGCAAACGCGGTGCACATAGGCGTCGTCGTGTACACAGGCGGTGTGTGTGTGGTGTGTTCACAGGCGTTGCGGTGTACACGGCTGCTGTAGTGTACACAGGCGTTGTGGTGTACACAGACATTGTTGTGTAGACAGGCGCTGCGGTGTACACACGCAGCTGTGGTGTACAAAGGCGTCGTGGCGCACTCTCGGCAGGCGCTGTGGTGTACACAGACATGGTCGGTCAAAAACGGGCCAGAAAAATCAATAGTCACAAATAACTGACACATTGAATTTGATACGTTCGGGCCAGGCCCCTGGGGATTTTCCAGATTTGGGCCCTGGCGGGACCTTGGAGGTGCAGGGAAGCGCTGTGGCGCGAATGCTCGCCATGCGGCGTGGTGCACGCGGCTCCTGTGGTGTGCGCAAGCACCGCGGTGTACACAAGCGCTGTGGTGCACACAGCTTTGTCGTGTACACAGGCATTGTGGTGTACACAGGCACTGTTGTCTAGACAGGCGCTGCGGTGTACACAAGCAGCTGTGTTGCATAAAGGCGTCGTGGCGTACACTAGACTGGCGCCGTGGTGTACACAAGTATGGTCGGCCCAAAATGGAGAGGGAAGGGACCGTGCCCAGGGGCCAGAGAAATCAATAATCACAAATCATTTGCATACTGAATTTGATACGTTCGGGCCCCAGGGGGGATTTTCCAGATTTGGGCCCTGGCGGGACCTTGGAGGTGCGCGGAAGCGCTGTGGCGCAAATGTTCGCCATGCGCTGTGGTGCACGCGGCTCCTGTGGTGTGAGCAGGCATCGGGGTGTAAATTGGCGCTGTGGTGCACGCAGAAGCCTTTGCTGCAGCAGCACCTGTGGTGTGCAAGACCGTTGGCGCACGCGTGTTGTGTAGTGCTCACAGGCAGTGTGGTGCACGCGTTTTCTATAGATAGTGTACACAAGACTTCGCCGCTACGCTTAACAACCATATCACGCGTATTCCAATTCGAACTGTCCAGACATCCCTAGGTATTCTCAGACGGCGCCCGCATCGTCGTATCACCAAGAGTAGTATCGCGGCAGCATCATTAGCAGCTGTAGAGGCCGCAGCACCGGTGCGCGCGGGCATATGCAGGGTTGTTCATAGCGCGAAGGTTAAGTTATCGGCTGCCCCCCCCCTCCGGATAACCCAGGTGCCGATTCAAAAAAACGGTTCCTTGGTCGGCTCTCTATTGATTTTCGGCGCCCCTTTGGTTTCCGGCGTCCTTTTCAAGTTCGACGACCCTTTGGTTTTTGGCGCCTTTTTGGGTGTCGGTGATTTTTGGTTTTCGGTGCTCTTTTGGTGTTCGGCGCTGCTCTGGTTTTCGGCGCTCTTTTGGTTTTCGGCGTTTCTTTGGTTTTCGGCGCTCCGCTGTCGGAGTTTTTTGTTGTCGGCTCTTCTTTGGTTTTCGGCGTTTATAGGTGTTCGGCGCCTTTCGGTTTTCGGCGCCCCTTTGTTTTTTGGCGCTCTTTTGGCTTTTGGAGCTCCTTTGGTTTTCGGCCCCCTTTTGGTTGTCGGCGCGCTTTGGGTTTTCGGCGCCCCTTTGGTTCTCGGCGCTCCTTTGGGTTTCGGTGCTCCTTTTTGGTTTTCGGGGAATCTTCGGCTTTCGGTGCCATTTTGGTTTTCGGTGCCCTTTCGGTTTTCGGCGTTTCTTTGGTTTTCGGCGCCCTCTGGTTTTCGTGCCCTTTCGGTTTACGGTGGCTCTTTGGTTTTCGGCGCTCTGTTGGTCTTCGATTCTCTTTTGGTCTTCGGCGCTCCTTCCTGTAGTCAAGGGGTCTCAAGCTCTCCCCCCTTTAGCCCAAAGGGGGGGGGGGCTTGGTTCAAAGGTGGGGTAGCTAAGCCCTTTCCCCCCCCTTTTGAAAGGGATGGGGGGTAGCTTCCAGAACGCGATCGGGGGGAGGAGGGGAGGGGGTAGCTTCCGAGGGGCGGAGACAGAAGGAGGGGGGGGGGCTTCCAGCAGGGGAGGTTCAAGGGGACGGGGGGTCCCTAAGCTCCTCCCCCTTTGGACAGGGAGGGGGGGGGTAGCTTCCAGAGCGCGAACGGGAGGGGGGGGGGGCTTCGGCAGGGGAGGCTCAAGGGAGCGGGGGGGGGTAGCTAAGCCCCCCCTCCCCTTTAGACATGGAGGGGGGGTAGCTTATAGAGCGCGACAGGGAGGGGGCAGCTTCCGAGGAGAGGAAACGGTTCTAGGGGCAGCTTCCGACAGGGGGGGGGGCAGCTTCCGGCAGGGCAGGTCCAAGGGGCGGGGAGCCAATGAGATGCCCCCCCCCTTTTTGGGAGTGCGCTGCGGGCGCGTCCTCTCGTCCCAGAAATGGTAGTTGGGCCGATTTCAGCAGCATCGGCAGCGTTGGTCCAGAGCCTCGCGAGGCCTGAGATCGGTCCACTCCTCGAGCTATGGCCGAACATCTGTTCGAACTCTGCAAGTCTTTTTTGGCACACGTTCGGTTTACGGAGTTGATTTTGAGATTTAGAACAGCCGCAGAGCTCTTAGTTACACGAATCGATCCAGCAGCATCGAAAGTGTTGGTTTGGAGCTTCGATAGGCCTGAGATCAGTCTCCTGATTCGCGGTGTTGAAGTCCTAATACTGGTGTTCTGGCACGGCCTAGGATCGTCAAGACGCAACCGTCGTGTGGATTCGTGGCGTGGGAGTCCCGAGAATGGTGTTTTGACACGCGTCAGGGTCCTTCAAACGGTTGACCAACGGGGCACTTCCTTCAGTGTAAATGAATCCTTGCAGGAGCCTATGAAGAGGGAGTTTGGAGGGACGGTTTATTCCAACATTTATGAGTTGTCTTGAGTTCACACTGGTCCTCCTCTTCCTCCTCCTCCTCCTCTTTTGGGGTGCGCGCTAGGGATGCGGTCTTGGGTGAGGACATGAGGGGGGTACAATTGAAACCGATGGCAAGGATGCGTAACCTTCCAGTCGTACCCTTGCATCCGCCTCTTTGGTCCATGCTCGACTATTTTCAAGGGCCCGCCGCGTTCGACAAATCTTCAACACGGGCCTCCACTGGGCTTGCATCCTTATCGCGCATAGAGTGGGCGGCCCGCGTCCGAGGTCGCGGTGCCTGGCACCGACCCCCAGCTGCACGGCTGGCCGCCGCAGGGCGTCCCCGGCACGGACCCGCAGTTGCCGCTCTCGCAGGGCCCGCTCCGGGACACCACCGTGCAGGAGCGGGCGCTCCCGTCCTCGCGAGCTGCCAGGGTGGCGAGTCGGGGGCCAGGCCAGAGTTCCCGCACACCGTGCCCGTCGTCCTGCACCCTGCGTTCTCCGCACGTGTACCCTGCAGCCGACTCTCCTCCATCCCCAATCTCTGCACCCTGCACGCATTCCCCCTCCCCACACATCCCACACTGTACAGCCCGGTGTGCAAGCCGCATGCCCGAAGCCCTACATCCTGCCATGCACTGTCTTGGCTGTCTCGTCGTTCCATCGACTACCTCGTCACACATCTAGCCGAGCCGACGGCGAGGATTGGACCTGTACTTTGTTACATAATGGCATAACCTGCCCCCTGTAAGATGTCTAGGTCGTGCACCCCTGGGGGTTCGTTACCGTTGCGCCAACTCTGTCTGACACTGATCTTCACTCACGTCTCGCGCGCTTCTCGCGCAAGTCGTGGCATCCAGATCACGCCGATGCATTATGTGATCTTGGGGGATCCTTTGACTTTCAGACTTGCGGGGTCTCCGAAAGATCTAGAGTCCTAAGGCTGGCTGCCACTTTTCAAGGCTCTCAGGAATAAGCAAGTCAGATGTGAGCATAAAGCAATCAAGCGAACATATAGACAGCAGTACGAATCCAAGTAACACAACATCGAAGCAGCCTAGTCTTGGCACTGCGCTATGCACTGGCACAGCAGGGCGCAGTGCAGGCAGTGCAAAGTTGATCACCGCAAAGCGCAAGATGGATCCACTCGAATCGAAGCCAAGCGTATCATCACGAACCCGAGCTACATCTGTGTTTGGTAACGCACTTGCGAAGCTGCTCTTCGCTTTCGGACAGGCCTCGGATAGTATAGAAGGCCAATGGGAGAGGAGGAGGAATAGGAGGAGGAACAAGAGGAGGAACAAGAGGAGAAGGAGGAGGAGGAGAAGGAGGAGAAGGAAACTGAGAAGGAGGAGGAGGAGGAGGAGGAGGAGGACGGAGCAGGAGGAGGAGCCCCCTCCCCGAGGAATTGTCCGACGTGCGGCGCGAGATGGATCGCCTCCGCGCCGAGGCGTCTGCCCCAGTGCAGGCGCCGACGGCGGTGCTGCGGCCGAGCGCGCCCCTCACGGACCCCACTCTTCTCCCAGAAAGGATGGGGAGATCCCAGCAGATGAGATGAAGGGAGAGAGTGAGCGATAAAGGACGAAAGAGAGAGAGAGAGAGAGACAGAGAGAGAGAGAGAGAGAGAGAAAGAAAGAGAGAGAGAGAGAGAGAAAGAAAGAGAGAGACAGAGATTGAAAGAGAGAAAGAAAACAACGCGAGAGAGAGAGAGAGAGAGGCACCGAGCTTGCAGCGCGTGTCCGCGTGCGGCCGGCGGGGGAGGAGGAGGAGGAGGAGGAGGATGAGGAGGACCAGTGTAAACCCACGACCCCTCTACGATGTTGGAATGCATGCCTTTCTTGGCCGGCAGGGTTCCTCTGACTGAAGACTTGCACACCAGAGGACTTATGAACCGCATTTTTCCCGTGTGTGCGTGTTGCCTCATTCATTTTCCGACTTGCTCAACGCACGGTCCGCCCTCTAGGGGACCGCCCCGGTTAGCGGAGCTGGCACGCAGACATCCATGTCATTCATGCCATGCCAGACGTCTTCTGAGAGCTTCTGTATCAGAACTGCTGAATTCAACCCCGTACTGTTTAGACGATGCGCCGTGCGGCGCGGCTCCACTGACTGACTGACTAGCTCCCTCTGCATAGGTCCCTGTAAGGATTCATTTACACTTACGGAAGTGCCCCGTATGGAGACATCGTTTTGACATCATGAAGCGTGCGAGAACACTGTTCTCAAGATTTCAACGCCACTGATCAACTGGACTACTACGCCTTGACGATCCTGAATCGTGCCAGAATGCCGTTCCTGGGATTTCTGCGCCGCGAATCAGCGTCACTGTTGCACCCTGACAATCCCGAGCCGCTCCAAAGTATCGTTCTTGGTACGTTAACCATGAGAGCCTGTGAATATCGAGCAAACGTTAAGACAAATGTGCGCGGCGCTAAGGCGAGATCCACATTTTGAACATGAGCCGTCTTCAGTCCGTGTGAAGCTCTTGCGAAGTTGTAAGACGAACGTGCGCGGCGCCAAGGCGAGAGCCACATTCTGAAGACCACCCGCCCTAATCCGTAAAACTCGTGGTATTTAGGGCGAGTGTGCGCGGCGCTGAGGCGAGAGCCAGATTTTGAAAACGACGTGCCTCACTCCGCAGAATTCTTGGATCTCTTTAGGACATGTGCATTGCGCTAAAATCGAGAACCACAATTTGAAAACGACCCGCCCTCAATTCGTGAAACTCGTGCAATTGTTTAAGACGAGTGTGCGCGGTGCTAAGGCAAGAACCGCACTTTGAACACCACCCGCTCTCCACGTGTGACACTGTTATCATGTTTCAGGCTTCAGGGTCACACATGGCCTGGCCGGCCTTTCCGACTGGCCCCAGGGTGCGACAGCGAGGAGCTTTCTATAAGAAACAGGAATGGACGAGGAGGAGGAGGAGGAGGAGGAGGAGGAGGAGGAGGAGGAGGAGGAGGAGGAGGAGGAGGAGGTGTAGGAGGAGTCCGTAGCCATTTTGGCTCAAATCCGTAGCGTTTGCTCAGGGACGAGAGTATTTTGGCGGGGGGGGAACCGACGGCCCCCAACACCATTGTTGGTACTGTATTGCGGCCTGCCGCACAGCTCTGGCGCAACGTACACTTCGGCTACAGCTACCTGTGCCACGCAGAGATGGCGCCTCGTTTCGCTCCTCTCGGTGGCACTTGGAAATGCACTGCTTGCGGGTGCGCTCGCAATAAGTGGCATTGGAGCTGGTGCAAACATTGCAAGACGCCGCGGAAGGAGAGTACGCTCATGCCAAAAGAATGGCCTCCTCTCCCAGAGTGGCCGAAGCGCGGTGGTGGTGGACCAGGTCCACGTGATGGAGGCTGGCAGTCGCTGGATGATGGGCTCGTTCGACACGAGGTGGCAGCCAATACGCCCTCTGCAGATCTCACAGGAGACCAAGGACTCACCATTGCCGATCTCGAGCAGTTCATCGTTTTCTTTGCCACCGCAAGTCTGGAAATGAAGAGCAGGGAATCAAATGCGAAAAGGAGTTGGCTGCAAAGTGGAAAGCTTCTTCTCATCCGCAGCTGTCAGCACAAGCAAAAACATTAAAAACACATAAACAAGTTCAACGCATCGAGCGCCAGCTGCAGAAACAGGACACGGCCTTCGAGAAGGTTCAGCTACAGCTGGACTTCCATATGGGCCAGATTGAAAAGTTACAGCAATAACTCGATGACCAAGAGAAGTTATACAAGCAAGTGTTTGAGGATCCCCACTTGGGCGTCGAAGGTCCAGGGCCCCCATAGACCGTGCCAGCCGTATCGATCACAGATGTGTTGGCAGGCAAATGGGAGTTCGCGGAGATGTCGGAAGAGTTGTCTGGGCTATCACATTTTGTTGCCATCTCAGACCAAGAAAAAGAAGAAACACGCGCAAAGACCATCAAGCTCAAAAACATGCTCCAGGAGGCTACGAAGCAATTCTTTGGAACGGTTACAGAACGAGCGGCCACATTGCGAGCTGAACACGAAGAACAAAATAAGCGCTTGAGAAGCAAAAAGCGTAAGGCAGATGAAGGAGCTAACGGAGGAGGTGGAGGAGACGGACAAGGATCGGGACAGGGAGCAGCAGCAGCAGCACCAGCGGCACCTCTGTGCCATGCTACAGCGGCCGCGGGGGCAACTGCGCATCCGGGGCCAGGTGCTGGGAAGGACAGGCAGCAGGACGCCCCGGATCTCAGGTCCCAATTCCAGGGCGCCCTCAGCAAAGACGAGCCCGCCAAGCAGCCTCGTCCCTTCGACGAGGGGGGCAGACATGGGGGCCACGCAGTGTTCCCGATAAAAGCCCACCCCCCAGAAAAAAGGCACCCCGTGAAGAACCCCGTCCAGGGGCGCCTGAAGGTCCAAAAGTAGAGTGTCAATGTCTAGAAGTCGTCACTGTCAACGGATCCCCTTGGAAGTCCGTGGAGGCTGTGCTGCAACTTCTTTCTGCGCCAGTTATCCTGGCTCAAGAACGCAGATTGCTGCCGCGACGTTTCTTGTGGATTTACCAGTCTCTATTGGCGAGGATGGCATGTGTTTGAAGGCCCTGCGGGAAAGACAGATTTGGGCAGAGCGTCAGCAGGGGTGCTGACCATGGTCGAGAGCTTTCTGACAGCCTGGGCACCCGATGGAGGTGTTTTCCCAGGATCAGGAGCCAGGGCAGCTAGATGTGATGTGTGTGCCCGCGAGCTCGGCATGTTCACGATAGGCGCTTGCTACCTGTTTGTGGGGGAAGGTCTCGCGCCGTGCAACTGGAAGATCGCGCGTCTTCTCGGAGAACAGGCGCTCATCCGCAGGGCCCCGCGCATCATATGAGGCGACTGCCACGCGGCAGCGTTGGAATCTGTGTTGCCCTTGCACATCCTGGAGGGCATCATCAGAGGCGACCCTGACGCTCCCTCGTATGTGTTGGGCAGCACTGAATCCAACCTCGATTTCTTCCTGGTAGAAATGCGAATGGATAATATGAATTCAGAGGTCTGTGTTTTGGCTGATGTACCAACTGGCCCACGTCGCCCTGTGAGTCTTCGGTTCAAGCAGTCTGCTGGGATGGAAGTGCCATGTGCGCCGAAGAAGCGTCAGCAACCGCCAGGGGCGTGCGTGATAGGACTAATGCCCGAATAAGATCCAGAAACCAGTGCACTCACCTCACTGACAAGTTAGGCAACCTGTTCTTGTCCCTCGGCGATGGCCCAACAGAGCAGCAGTGCGCTCTCCTGGGTGAAGGCCGTGGGGTGGCCATCGAATTTATGGATGAGGTGTATGATTATTGGAACAGCTCGCGTGGCAAGATGTGTTGACGCTCGCGGGATATGACGCGCCCGGCCTTGCAGGTGGTGCAGGGCCTGAGTGGGAAATGGAACCTTTCAGACAAGTCCTGCTCGCGCGCTCGCACCGCGAGCTAGATCCGCAACGCGCGCTCGCATGAGTCTCATGGACCGCGCAGAGACTTGGCGAGATAAAGACCCTCTTCCTCGACGGCAAGACCAACGCATACTGGCGCAAGTGAGTGAGAGACCTCGTGAAGCTGCCCGAGCGCAAGAGAGGTCCTTCTTGGCGTTGCTGGAAAGATGGGGCTACGTTTTGGAACTCTCTCCTGAGCAGTGTGGGCAGTCTTGTCAGATGTATGCATGAGTTTGAGATTGCATGGTTGCAGGAAGTCCTGACTTATGCGCGACGTATCCATGATCGCATCCCCCAGCCGACGTCGAAGATCAGATCGCGGCAACGGAAGGAATGGTGCGACGATATCACGGACAATGGTGCTAAAGCTGCTCGCGGGTATCCGAAGGACAAGCCCGCGCCGTTGATGCCGCAACTTGCAGGGCCCTAGCAGTCCTCTCCCTTGAAGCCAGAGTTCAAGCAGATAGCGAAAAATGGTCTAAGGCCTGGCAGTGTGGAGAATCCCCTAGCAGTAGGGCTTGGGAGCATCCACTTGTCCATGACACTACTCTTTCCTGGATGATGCGTCGCTCGCGGTATTTGGCAAAGGTCTGGTGCTTATGGGAATGACAGGATCGGCCCCGACATCGATGAAGAGACTCATTGTGCAACTTGCGCACAAACCAGCAGGTGGTAGACGTTCGCTTGCGTTCTATCCAGCTCCGATGCGCATCGGTGGCAGATTTGGCAAACACCGTCTAAGACAATGGGAAGCTAAACGTGGCCTTGGCCAAGCGTGCTCCATGGGGCAGCATCGCGGGCCTGGCGACACTGTTTGGCGCCGCGCAGTATTGGCAGAAGAAAGTGCGCATACGAATCCGTTTTGCATTTCAGTGATCTGGGACTTGCCGCAGTTCTGCGAGCACGTGCCGTGGGGCCTCATCATGTGCAATTCAATGTTGGTGGAATTCCCATTGGAAGTTCCGCAGCTTTTATGTCTACTTATGCATGGGAACGTTTATTGAACTATGGTCAGATTCTCATGGGCCCTATTTCCTTGTCACGGTATTGTAGCAGGGGGCTCCGGAGCCACCTTCGAGGCCTAGCTTGCCCTCATGCCTTTAATCGAAGATGAGGTTGCGAGAAGGCCGCGTGACAGGTCTATGCTGTCACTCCACATGGATGACTTATCTCAACGTCAGTGGGGGCCCGTCATGATCGACGTTTTGGAAGGAATGCAACGACATGTTCATCGTGTCGGACATCGCCGTCCAAAAGCACTCGGGCTGCCGCTCGCAATGCGCAAGTTGAGTAGGGCGACTTCTTGTGGCAAGATGATGGCGCTGGCAAGGGGTGCGCTCGGCAGTATGGGTGGCCCCGGAGAATGCGCAGTCAGGGACCTCGGCGTTGATTTCTCAGGGGGAAAGCACGTGGCACATCCCAAAGCGCACAGTACCATAGCACAAAGGTGGCAACAAATGACAGTCAAACGGGAACATATATCCAGTATGAAATTATCACGTAAAGGCCACAAGTCGAGACTCACTGTGACCAATGCAGTGCCCGCAGTCGTCTACGGTGCGGAGGTGAACGCATCCAGCCTTTCACAGGTGTTCTGCCTACGATCTCAGGTGTCGAAGTCTTGTGGCCAGCGTCTTCGTGGTTTGAATGTGGAACGAGGGTGGTATCCTTCAAGAGAAAGATCCCATATATGTTGCGGAAGCTTCTATCGAGAGATACTGTGCTGAATGGTGGAGGAGTTCCGCTCCTCGGGAGGACCTGCAACGCCTTCATTCTGATGCACTTGGAGCTGATCGTCTGACCAAGCTGTCCGCGACAGCCATAATCTGAATAAACGGTGGTTTAAAGAGAATAGGGGCCCAGTGGGTGAAGTTCTGCTGTGGTGTCGGGAGGCGGGGTGGACTTTCGAGGGGCCGTTTGTTTTTCGAGATCTCAGAGGTCACTTGCTGCGTCACTTGCTGGGTGCCACCGTCCAAGCCCCGTCTTTTATAGCCATGCAGTTTGAACGGCAAAATAACGACGCTAGGATCCAGTCTGTGGTTCGGGCGGTTTGCCAAACCCGCCCCAACCCTGATCCAGGTGCTTTCTTGCGCCGGGGTCTGCGGTGGGAACTGAGCTGCGAAGCGTTGAATAGTAAACGCAACGTGACCCGAAGACAGGTCCTGTGCTGTAGGCGGTTTTTGGCGGGTGTGTTCCGACGGCGTCCAATCTCAGAGAGTGGGGCTTTAGTGTCGACCTCCTTCTGCCCCCATGGCTGTGGGGGAGAAAATGCGGTTTTCCATGGATGCTTCGAGTGCAGTTCATATTCAACCAAGCCCTTACTGCAGGTGCCTCCAGTCTGTCGTTTTCGAGGGGCTGGTTGGCTCGATTAGATGTGCCCCCTCCGTCCGACACGTTCGCCATCCATTAGTTTTTTTTTAGAATGGGGTGCTAGCAGATCCGTTCGAATTCGACCTCAGCGACAGGCTTTATGGAGATGGCTCCTGCCTCAGGCCAAATGGCGGGTACGTTGTTAGAGCGGTCTGGGGGGTTGCGCGCATTTCTGAGGCAGGAGACCTGATCGGAGGCATCAATGGTACTGCCCCTGCTTTGCTTGGCCAGAGCTCGGCGATCGGTAAGCGCGCAGCTGTCATGCAAGCGCATGCGCACATAAAAAAGGTGCTGGAGCTATGAGGCCCCAGAATATGGATTTCAAGGCCCTGTCAAGGGCTCAGTTGTCTCCCGCCTGTGCCCCGGGGCCTAAAAATGACCATGGGATTTTCTGGAAACAGGTTGCGCTCGATATTGACCAGACCTCTTGGGTTAGCTTCCACAAAGTGGAGGCCCACAGAGATGAATCAACTGCGTCAGACGACGCGGACCTGCTGGACATCCGAGGCAACAAGGCCGCGGACTGAATGGCAGGCCAAGGCGCCCGAACTCACGAATTCGATCCGTCAACAGTCGATAAGTTCACAAGTGCTGTCGAACTGTATAGGGGAGTTTTCTCGGAATGTGTAAGATCCTGTCCCTTTGGGCACCCGCGGCTGAACTTTTTAACATTTGCCAAGGATATGTGCGTGCGTGGGCTGGTAGGTCTCTGAGGAGCCCGCATGTCCCTCGCTGGCATATTCATCACCACAGATGTGCGTGTTGTTTGAGGAAGATCTCTGTCGTGCCTTGCCGCCGTCCCTGTTGAATGTCCTGAGGGCTCCCGACTCTAACGGCCATCGCCTGAACGTGTCGTGGGCTGTGGGTTCCGACGCTCTTGTTGTCTGCTGCGTCAAGTGTGGACACTATGTGAC